CGCCTTCATTCGAGGTGAGTCTTCTCACTATACTTTACCTAGAGTGGTAACTATATGTGACCAGAAGGTCTTATATGTTATGCAGAGTATGTGATATATGTTGTTATGTGATATGTATGTGTTATGCTATGTTATGAGTACCATGATATGGACCGGAAGGTCAACAGTGTATGGACCGGAAGGTCAAGATGATGAGGAACGGAAGGTCATACGGGTAGGGCCGGAAGGTCTACCAGGGTTGGGACGGAAGTCCCCTGAGACACATGTATTGGAAGGTCCCATAGAGCTATGGCCTTGAGTGGCGTATGTGTTGTATGTGGTATTTTGGGGAACTCACTAAGCATGTATGCTTATAGTGTTGTGTGTTATGTGTTTCAGGTACTAGCGATGATCGCGGGAAGGCGTCGGCATGATCCGTACACACTGGCAGAAGATTTATTTTATGATCTTGGGATATGGTTTTATCATGATGACATTTGTTAAACATGAGATTTGAGAATATTGAATGAGTTTTATGTTATTTGAAAAATGAAAATTTGTTTTGAAAATTTACATTGTTACAAGTTGGTATGCTCAGGAGTCTTGTGTTTCGTTGAAACAAAAAGGGGAAATTTACAACGTAGTTGTTAGATCTACTATATTATGTGGAGATAAATTTCATTTTAGCAAGAAGGACCATATAATTAAGATGGAAGTATCATAAATTAGGATGTTGATGTGGACTTATGATGGAAATTTGTTGTATATGATACCAAATGCGGTTATCATAAATTCGATGGGATTAGCACGAATCAATGAAAAATTAAAGAAATGATGATTAAGGTGGCATGAACATGTCCAAAGAATAATACCATCAATGATGCTAAGGAAGATTGACTTAATGATTATTGGTGGTAAACAGAGGAGTTCACGTCCTAGAAAAAAGTGTGAGGATAGTATAAGGCTAAACATGGTGGAACTAGATCTTTTTTAGGATATGATCTCAAATAGCAGTATGTGGAGACTTACTATCAGAGTAATGCAATAGTCTGGCATCGTTTGTAGATCTTTGTTATCATCCTAATCCCTTGTATGATCTTTTTTTGTAATCTTTATTATCATACTTGTTTTCCGACTATATGTTTGATTTTTTTTTTGCTCTTTTTGACTTACTCCACCATGTTTTCCCTCTTTTACACTTCCAGGTTCATTTTCTTATTTTATGATCTTCCCATATTCTATGTTGTTGATTACATTGACTTGCTTTCTCGTGGTTTGGCTCATTTTTCAATGTTTTTTTTACGCTTGACGGAGGGCTTTCATGCGAAACAATTGCTCTCTCTTCCGTAGATGCATGCATGATTGTCGATATCTACCTCCCACATCCCATTTCTATGAGATTTGCGTATTGTTATTGTTGTTGTGGTTGTTATGATTTTGGTACAAACTTGTGGTTCCTTTGAAACAAGTCTACTCCCATTTATAAATGTTTTATATGGGAATGTGCACTTGTTTTATATTAAGGTTTTGCAGGATACGATTCAAAATCCATTTAGAAGTTTAACCTACATATACTCATTTTATGTAGGAATGTTATATATATATATATATATAATATATATATATATATATATATATATATATATATATAGGGTAGGACGCAAGAATACATACAAGGTGTTGCCGAGGTTGAGGTAGGTGTTTCCGATGCAGGAAAAATAGGTAAAAAATATCAAAAACTTTTCTACTGAAAACAGACATGGTAGTATTGTCGGTACCATTATAGTCAGCTATACAAAACAACCACTCTCTCTCTCTCTCTCTCTCTCTCTCTCTCTCTGTGTGTGTGTGTGTGTGTGTGTGTGTCTATATATATATATATATATATATATATATATATATATATATATATATATATATATATATATATATAGGATGGTTCACTTGAGATTGAAAAAACTAGAGATCCTGAGATTCAACCTCAGCCACATATTTCTCATTTGCGGCTCTAACGTTCCAATGTACCGGCAGCAGTGAGGTATGCCTAATCATAAATGATTATATGGCAGAGAGGTATAAGTACATATGATTATACATGTTTATACGTATATGTCTAATCATAAATAATTATACATATATGTATGTTTACAGATTGAGTAATCATATATGATTATGACAGTTAATGGCAGAAGAGATGGTGGTGGCAGAGGTGGCATTGGTATAAGTGATGGAGGTGGAAATGGTGGGTCGACTGGTGTCAAAGGTGGTGGTAGTGGTGGTGGTGGTGGAGATTGTGGTGGTGTGGATGGTGGCATAAAAGAAAGGAACGGACGGCACTATATAATCACTTATGATTATAACAAGCCTGGAGCGCCAGTACACTAGAGGGTTAGAGCGGCAGATGTAACATATGTGGCGGAGGTTGAATCTCAAGATCTCTATTTTTTATAATGTTAATGGAACCTATATATATATATATATATATATATATATATATATATATATATATATATATATATATATAGATGTGTGTGTTGTGTGTGTGTGTAGAAAATATCAAATGAGAATCCTTAAAGGTTAAGAACCATCTAAGAACCCTTTTCATTAAGGGTATTTTGGTCAACATACATTTTCGTATAATTAACATTAGATTACAAAATCATATCTGAACATTCTTACAAGACATCATACTCTCAATCTCTTTTTTTTTTTTGGAAAGGGAACTTCCCTAATGAGGGTTTCCGGGCCAGCTTTCGCGCACCGACTAATCCCCCGCTGCAAACATAAAGCTTTGCCTCATGCCCTGGAGTCACTGTAGGTGAACCTCCATGGCCACAAGGGCTGAGTGGTGCCAGGATTTGAACATGGGTCAATAGGTTATCCACCACACTACCTTTGAAATCCTTTCAACTTTCAAAGACTCCCTTCTTCTACAACCACCACCACTACCACCTACCTCTAGCAACTGTACAACACCGCCACTACCTACCTCCAACGACTATCCACCTTCGTCAGCCGCTTAACCTTCACTAGAATGTCAAGATAGTCTTGTTTTTTTTTTCAGATTTGGAACCACAACAAAAAACGACATCACCGAGATGTTTTCGCTTCAAATCCACCGTCAACCTCCACACCAACGCCTGTCATCTCCGGTGGCATAATTCCGTCAACTTTTCTTTGTGTTTTTTTCCTCGGATCTAACCAGATCTAAATGATTCTAGTGATTTTTTTTCATATTCGATTGTGTTCCTAGTCTAGATCTTTCGAGATGTGGGCGGATCTAGAACCTCCACTTTCTTATCTGCCATCTGCTTCGCCTTCACCTTCACCTTCAGATCTATAACTTTTTATCACCAAAACACTATATCTACCACCGGATCTTCCGTACCGTTGTCTAGATTTGCAAGCTCCGGTCCAGATCTAAGATTTCCTCCACCACCGATGTTCAGATCTATGAGGTCCAACAAGATTGAAAGAGCTCTGACGAGATCTGGTGTCATGTTCTTCAAGTTGCACATCTAGTTTTGTGTTCTTCATCTCAGACCTATGAAAACTGCTTGTTGTTTTTACTCTGAAGTCTGGATCTATTCTTGTCGTCAAACCACCATCGTCAAACCTTGCTAAAGAAACAAACAGCATTGTCTGACTTTAGAGATGATGGAAATCTTATATATTTGGTCGGATCTTATGTTTTATGGTGATTATGGATATGATATATGTTGTGCACACAAAGTGTTTGATAAAATGGCTCAACAAAATTTGGTAAGTCATTAAGCTGTGAATATGTGGTTTTTATGTATTAATTTGTCTAAGTTATAAAACTGTGGATGTGTATTTTTTTTTTTTTTTTTTGATGTATTAAGTGATGAATTAGTATTTGAAATGTTGAATTAAGTTGTGAAATAGTGTTTGAAATGTAGTATTAAACTATAAATTCTGATTTTTTATCTAGGTCTGATTTTTTAGGGAAGGATATTGGTTGTGTTGGCATCGGTGGTTGGTGGTGGCATATGGTAGTTGACGGTGTTGATATTGTTAGTAGTGGTAGAGTAATGATATGTTTTATTTCTCACTCATCTTCTTCTTTGATTAAGTTATTATCTTTTATGATTCATGTATATGTTTTTCTTTTGATATTTGCTTCAGAAATATGATATAAATTATGTATGTATTAAATTGTGAATGAGTTATTTAATACATTGAAATATGATATTCTACTTGTAAATGAGTTGTGAATATATTGTATAAAACTGTGAATCTTGTGTATTACGTTGTGAATTTTATCGACGACCTAATATATTAAATTCACAATTTAATACATAGAAAAACCTTCATATATTAACGTATAAATATAAGTTTTAATTTGAAAATACAGTTGTGAATATATAATTTGTTGTTTTAAATTGTGAATTTATTGTATTAAACTGTAAATTGATTGTATTTAGAGTTTCAAATTGATAATATGGTTTTGAATTTATATTTTTTGTATTAAACTGTAAATTTATTGTAATAAGCTGTGAATTTTATGTATTAAGCTGTAATTTTTGTGTTCTAAACTTTGAATTAACTGCATTAAGCTGTGAATTTTTTATTTACATTATGAATTGATTATATTAAACTATGAATTTCTTGTATTAAACTATGATTTTTGTGTTTAAAAATATGAATTGACAGCATTAAACTGTGAATCTTCTATTTAAATTGTGAATTGACTGCATTTTGCAGTGAATTTTTTATAATTTGTGTTAAAATATGAATGATTTTTATAAATTTTTGTGTTAATTTTCTTATGAATATATTTATTTTTTATGTTGCACAAATTTGTAAGAACTCATTAGTTTTTATAATTGTATTACATTAAATTCAAAACAAGTGAATTAATAGGTTTTATTAGACTCTGAATGTAATATTTAAGTTGTTAATACATGATTTTCTTTACAGATCTGATTTGAAAGAAATAATGGTTACGATGTTGATACAAATGGTTGGTGGATTTAGATAGATATCATAGTATGTTCCTGTTATCCATGCTACTTGATTTATACTTGGATTCAGATACATATAATATTCAGATCGGTATATTACGTTGCATAATGCAATTATATCGAGATGAAAGGCAAATGAGCTATAGGTTTAGCCGCTAACCCTTGTTAGATTAATAATTTACTTGTTTTAATATTGTGTCAATAGATCTTATGGTTATAACATTATTATGAATAAAAAAATATTATAATTTATTCAAGGGGCGGATTTAGGGGGTTTTTTAGGTGGCCGGTGTAACTTCTTAAAATTTTTTGCTGGCGCAATGTAAATTATCCGATATATAACCTCTAAAATTATGTGTGCTGCCCTACGATTTTGTTTTGCATCCGTCACTGCGTACTAGTATATGAAAGATATTATATACCAAATTAATCAATATAAAAAAACGAACACATAGCATCTAAACCATGATTGTGTCATTTTTAACAAATTTAAATAATTGGTTTTGAAAAGTTACTTCTTCATATACCCTCCTCTCACCACTCCTAAAGAGAAAAGAAGAACAACAACAAAGGAAGAATGAAAGGGTATTCAAAGATGCAGCTGATCGACGAAAGTCCCACAAGCACCAGATCCACACCCCCAACAAGTTCAAATTCCCAATACGACGACTATAACAATCATCATGAACTGCAACAAAAAGAAGAAGATAAGAGCTTCCCCAATGCAACAAGTTCTATTCCTGATACCAGGTTTAATCGAGAGAAAAAGATCAGTAGTAACCTGCAAACAACAGTGAAAAAGGCTTTCTCCATGAGAAGATCTTCATCTATTTCTGAAAAGTATTACAGGATCCATGATCATTCTTTGAATCTTCAATCTGAATGCGAAGATGAAGAAGAATCGCAGGTAAAAGGATCTACAAACAAGAAGGGAAGTGTTCTAAAAGCCTGTAAGCGCATTTTTCGAATTTGATTTCAGAGATCAAACAAATTAATAAATAATAACTTTGCATGTTAAAAATTACTTTTAAACACCAAACCATCTAAAACTACGTGTTTCAAATACATGACATGCCATTTTATTTTTGCAATGAAACTAATTAAAGCTTGTTATTATTGTAAGAGAATTGTAGCTAAGTTTTAAATGAATAACAATAAAAGTTTTATGTATCATACAGTTCTTTATTCTATGCTGTAGTGATTATAAGTTGTAAACTTTTGTTTTTTTTTTTTGGGCTAAATGTAATGCTTCAGTTACCCGTATGCTAATTTCATTTCTGTTTCCCATGTTCATTTTGTAAATTTGAATATTTAATAGTTGATGATCATCCATGAATATTATACATTGTAATTGTAAAGTTTTATACAATCATAGTGTTTTCATGTCTTTATTTAAATGAGAGGTGGAAACAAATTTGAATAAAATGACGCACATAAGTTTTTTACAATTGTATTAGATTTTTTTTTTTTTCATTAAATAAATTTAGATATTTAGAACCATAAAATTGATAGATCAATAACTTGGATTAATAATTAAAAATAGTTATTCCAATATTAAGTAAACAATAGTCAATTATCTTGTTTACAACGTTCTTTGAACCTATGACAACAGAAATGATTCAAACAACAAAAGAGAATGCTACAAAAGTCAAATTTGTTTCTTTCAACTACTTTTTCTGGCTTTAATTCAAACAAGAAGAATTAAAAATTAGTAATATATTTCAATTAAAACATATTTTAGTTTAAACCAATCTGAATTAACTAAACTTTTTTTTTCTTTCAATTAAACCACAAATCGAAATCAATAATAATCTTTTAAATGAAAATTAATCTGTTAACTTATGATCATACTAGGCAAATTCCAATCTTGATTTTTCTTAACGGTTAGTTAGTGGTTAGAAATTGGTATCACCAAGTTAGTAAAATTCATCAACGTCCGAATTATTCAAGACCTCCAAGTTTAAATACAAAGTCTCTATCAAGTGGGTTAGTCCCACATTGACGTTTAATTAAGTACATAGAGCTTTTAATTCAGTGGTAAAAGTAAATGATTGAATTAAGTTAGTGACTATGTGTGGTTAAGTAGTTGAAAGTTTAAGAGTTTGTGTAACTTTCAAAGGAATTATGCATTAATATGACATTTATTATAAAATAAAAACCAAACATTGGTGAATAATTGAAAAAAGATGCTCATTTTAACAATCTTGGCATTAATATTTCTTCTTAGGTGTTTGTTTTATAGTTTCAACATTTATTATCATTTTTATTAGGGCTGTAAACGAACCAAACGAACACGAACAAGGTCTTGTTCATGTTCGTTTGTTTAAGTTAGCCGAACAACAAACGAACACGAACGGATAAACGAACGAGATTTTCTTGTTCATGTTCGTTCTTTTACCAAATTACTTTGTTCATGTTCGTTCATTTATGTTCGTGAACATGCTAAACGAACATAAACGAACAAAGATAAAAAAAACACAATTGAACATATATGAACATAAACGAACATATAATATAGCAATATAATAAAAAATAATTGAATATAGATGAATATAAATAAACTTAAACGAACGAACATAAACGAACATAAATAAACATCATAAACGAACGTTCATGAACATAAATGAACGAACGAGACAATTGTTCATGTTCGTTCATTTAACCAAACGAACGATAATTTTTGTTCATGTTCGTTCATTTATTAAATAAACGAACTTCCCGCCGAACAGTTCACGAACGGTTCGCCGAACGTTCAGTTCGTTTACAACCCTAATTTTTATTATTAATTATTAACAATTTTTTATAGGTTTAAGTTGTGCAGGTTGGTTGTTCGAGCTGTGTGTTTCATCATAAAAGCCCAATTATTGTTTTATTGCAACTCATGTGTTTAATTTTTTATTTGTTCGTGTTTCTTTATTTGTTAGTATTGATTTAAGAAAATCATTGTATTGATCACTTTCAAGAATATGAAACGTGTGAATGGAAAACAACAATAGAATTAAAAGCCAAAAGATATAACTTATACAACAAACCAAAAACAATTAAAGATCCTAAAATGTAAAGTTTCCGGCATCATCTTTAAAAACACATCAACACATTTAAATATTTCATTAAAACATCTTAGAATATATAATAAAAAACTTTCAATTTCCTCAAAAGAAGATAAACTCATCAGCTCATTAAAGTGAATTTCTACATCTCAATATGAATATCGTCACAAAAACTTGCATATAATTCAAAAATGTGAGGTAATATTCAACCTAAATATCCATTCAATCTTAGAGTGTTTATAAATCAGTTCAACGATTATTCATATCGTATTTCAAGTAGAGCTGGAATCGTAAAGCTTGAAGTTAAATTCTCATCCTTGATTGCTCCATTAACCAATTCAATTTTACCCTTAATAATAAAAACTTATAAGAAATAAATGGTCTAGAACCTTGCCTTTCAAAAAAAGTGCTAGTACCTATATGCTCAATAAAACATTGCATATATTAATTTTTATAATAGATACTAACAAGTTCTCAAACTTAAGAGTTATTTTTATTCATTATTAAAAAAAAATATATATATGTGAACAAACCAATAAAAAACCAATTGTTTTGGTAAATATACATTAAAAAGTTTGGCTATGTCCATTTTCAAAGTCAAGTCATAAATTAGATAAAAATACATATGGTGCTTTTTATAGATTATTGAATTTCAATATTATATTGATAATTTATGATTTGGATTTACATCCAAACTAAGAGCAAAATACAATTAATTAGGCAAAAAAAGTTATTTTCTTTTGGTTTAGGATATGTGTTGTTGTAGGCTAACTAGACTTGTTGAAGGGGAATTTTAAAAAGCTAAATTAAATTGTATAAATTGAATAGTGTTGAAAGTTGAAAATACATAAGGTTTAACACAGATATATACTTTGAACATCTTTTTAGTCTCGGAGGAATTGTGCACACCATTGAACTCCATCTCAACCTTCTCTACATCCACCTTATTTTGAATTTCCCAAGCAACTAGAGTAAGAGACAACAAGCAAGAAGGAAAAAAGAAGAATAAATGATAAGAAGAGTATGGGTGAGAGATTTGAGAGACTTGACATCAGCATTTCAAGATCTCGCATTTCCAAAACAAAGAGTCAGTGTTTGTTGAGGTGACTAAGGTCCCGTTTGATACGCATCTTTCCAGGTCCAAACAGATCTTTCTGGTTGAATGGATCGGAAAGACTGTTTGATTTGCACAAAAGAATGGATCTTTCCCGGTAAGATATATCTTTCCCAGAAAGCCCCAAAATCATATCTTTCTGGCTGAATGGGCTGGAAAGATAATTATACACCAAACCCCACATCTTTCTTTATTTATTGGATTATTTTTTTTAAATAACTTTTTTTTTAATTTATTTTTTATTGAATTATTTTTTTTCATCATTCAGCACAGTCAATATGATGTACAATCAAATAGCATGGTTTCTTTTCCAGTAAAAAAACTTTCCCAGACAGCACTTTACCGAACAACACTTTCTCGGACAAAAACTATCAAACGAGACCTAAGCAAGTATTGAGCTCCTACTAAAGTCACTCCCAACAACCTTATGGCTCATTGACTTTGCACTTGTGTAAACGTATAAGCTTTTTAATATGTACCAATTTTATTAAATGAAATAATTTCATTTGGCTCTCTTAAAATTGTTTTGCAAATACAAGACGCAAAAAACTTAATATATCTGTGAATTGAGTAAGAATAATTTATATAAATATACTGGAGCAGAAGAAACAACAAGCGCCCATGGCCTAATGGATAAGGCGTCTGACTTCTAATCAGGCGATTGTGGGTTCGAGTCCCACTGGGCGTGCCACGCTATTTTTATTTTTTTTTCTTTTTTTTTGAAAAATAAAATAAAAGACACAAAAAAAAAAAAAACAGTTAATTGCAGCAAGTCACCGGAGGCTATTTTGTATATATGAACAGTTATGAACTTATGAATCGTGAGTTCAAAATTCATACAATTACATGAACTTCGAAATCCAAGAACATCACTTCCGAATCTCTCTCTTTTTTTTGTGGAGTTCACATTAATACCTTGAAATTATACAAACATGTCGATCACAAACGTTAATGTCGAATCAGTATCTAGTTGCAGAGCGGGATCGGCGCCGGAGACTCCAAAAAACCGGGTGAAGTTTATGTGCAGTCATGGCGGCAAGTTCCTCCCTCGCCCCGCCGACGGCCGTATCAAGTACGTCGGCGGTGAAACCCGCCTCATCTGCGTTCCTCGCGACATTACGTTCCCCGGTACTATTTTCTTGAACCCTAACATTACAGAAACTCTATACATTTTAACGATCAAATTAGGGTTTCAGTTTTTCGTTGTTGCAGTTTGTAAGAACAGTTTATCATATCAATCGCTCGTACTCATATGTTTGTGAAACAATTAGGAGATCATGAGATATCAACAGATGATCTGTAATTCTTTCCAATTCATCTAACGTCTAACTTCGAATTCAAATTGCAGAACTCATGATGAAGCTTACTACCATGTTCAATGGTGATCGAATTATCCTCAAGTACCAGTTCATCCCAGAAGATCTTGATGTCTTGGTAACAGTAAAATCCGATGAAGATATGCGCCACATGATTGAAGAATGTGATCAATTCTCATCACCAAGACTCCGAGCCTTCCTTTTCTCATCAAACCCCAACAAGATCCAATCCATGGATCACAACTCCTTTGAACGAAGCTACATAAATTCCATCAATGGCATCATCATCCACCCATCACCAACATACAATACTTACAACACCTTCAAACCACTCCCGGTTTACACAACCCACACAACCGTCACCATCTCCACCACCTGCTCCTCCTCAAGAGCACCACCGGAGACCACCGTCACCTGTTCCATCACTAACCCTGAAGTTACTGTTTACCATGGTAAACTTAGCGAACTGCCCAGACACCATAGCTCCCCTAGCTTGTGTGATCTAAGCAACCATCAGAATCCGGTGAACCACCACCACCATCCCCACCAACCTCCAAAACCGCCGCTTAATCGTCACCCTCATACGGCTTCTACCTCTGAGAATCTTGGTAGGATGAGGTCGGGATCGTCAAGCTTGGGACATTTGTGAAAACAAGATTTATGAACACAAAAATGGTTAGATATGTAAGCCTTAGTGTGATTACTACTGTTAGGAATTATGTACAAATGTAGATAGAATATATTGGCAACAATTTGTTGATATTTTTGTACTTAATTCGTTCGGAATCATGTGTGCTCGTTGTTATGGGAAAAAAATAATATAATATTATCAATTTTTAGAAGGGTTATTTTCATAAAAAAAACCTTATATTTTGATTTTTTTTTTCTTTTTAGACCTATAATTTTTTTTCTTTTCTGAAAAAAAAACTAAATTTTTATCTGTTACTTGTTAGTTTAGACCCTAACAAGTCATCAACAGGTAAATTAGGTATTTTTGTTTTATAAAAAATCCTATATTTTGTAGTTTTTTTTCCATTTTAGATCTAAAATGGTTTTTTTAAATAAACTCAAGTTTAAAATTGGTTATAATCTTCAAGATCAAATAGATGAAGGTACTTCTTGACTACACGGAAAAAGAAAGTATACATATATACACTTAAAAATGTTTCTTTTGTCTAGAAGAATTGTAAAATTTTATTTTTGCCTAAAAGATATAATTAAACTTTATCTTGGATATATATTATATCATTAAACTTGATATTTTGTTTATAAAAAATGTTATTATTACCACTAATAAAAAATTCAATGTTAATTTGATATTTTGTGGTAACATGGATAATACATGGCTAGGAAGTATTTTTAGCATAATAACAAATTTTTTTATTTGTAGAAAAAAACGTACCATGTAATTTAACAAACTTTATACAAAATAAAAAAATTTAGCTTGTCTATTATACTTATTTTGTGAGTTTGGACATATTTCCCTTTCTCATTTTTCTATATTATTTTTTGGTCGAATATTTTAATCAATTTTTTTAGAATGGTTAACAAACGCACTGATTATCATACTCCAAAACTAAAGCCATAGGATATTTTGTAGCATTATCCCATTATTGACTAATATATTATAACTATATCAAATACATACATAAAAATATTAATCCTAAACATTCGTAATAGTTTTGTTTAGATATATCAGATTCAAGTTTAAGACGTTTTTAAAAAATGTTAACATCACATATAAATACATAAAACTATATTATGGTAATGAAACCATTTGAACATAAGTGGAAATTCCAAATAATAAAAATGATACCGCACACTTAAATATCCAAATATGATGGTTGACATCATTATTAATGGTTAGAATGTGGTGAATGAGCAAAAATGAAAAAACTATGAAATTTTTGTAGAAAAAAAAAAAAAATTGAATAGTTGGCCTACTACCTCATTTTATTAATCTATCTTATGTATACATGGTGTTTGTATATCACGGTTATTAAATCTTAAGTATAATCATAACAATTACAAAAATAAAATTTAGGATTTTATTTTAATTTAAAAAAGCTTGAAGGTGTTTGGTACTTAATTGGTTATTGAATTTATGATCTTAAAATTATATAAAATCTTTTTTGTACTGTTAGGAAATTTGACTTCACATGTCTATGTATTTAAGTCTTAGCTTTTGGTAATTGTTTTATGTAATTGGAATTGAAAAACTAATTAAACCAATACTATATAAAAAAAATAAAAAAAAATTAAAAAAAAAAAGCTTTTTGAGCTAGAAACTGTAAATTTTCCTAAATGTAGACAAAGCATTTTGTTATTATTATATTATACTCGTGAAAAAAAAAAGATTATACTATACAATTTCCTTGTATGTGTAATGGTTTTAAAAAAATATTTCATGCGTAAATCAATATAATACCAAAGATGCAAGAGTTAAATCGTTATCTATTATTTAAATTAAAAGAATATAATTATGTTTTTATGTCTTGACGAAATTAAGCTACATGAACTTGGTGTAATGAAGAAATAATTTTTACAATAATTTTTTTATTAATATATATGTGGACAAAGAATTTTTCAATCATAAATAAATATAGGCATAATAATTATGTTTTTTATAAGGCCTTTTATGAAATAAAAATACTTAATTTCCCTTTGGATGACTTGTTAGGTCTAAAATAACAAGTAAAATGTAAAAATTGAATCTTTTGTGAAAAAAAAAAAAAAGTTTTAAGTCTAAAAAAATAAAATATAAGGTCTTTTATGCAAATAACCTTTTTGGAAAGAATATAATTTGTGAAATGAATTCAAATATGAGATAATTGGAATTTGACACGTTTCGATAGGCTAAAAAGGTAAAAATGGAATTGAATTCCTTCTACTACCTATAGGCTATAGGAACTGTGAAATCCGTCAAATATGAAGGAATTCTGTTGTAATAAATTCCGTCTATAGGGAAGCAAACATGTGAATACGTGATGGAATGGAATCATCAATTTTAATTATGTCAAATGCCCACCGGAATTAACAAACCAGAAAAGTCGATGTTACACATATTAGTTTTGGTGAAGTCATAAATCTATTGCATTAGCGTTGTTGTAAACTTTTTTTTCAACCGTTTATATTTTTTTCGAAGAATATCAATAAGCATTTCCCAATTCAAGAATTATGACTAAAGAAACATGAAAAAATATATAATAATCAAAAGTAACTAAGATTAATCTATGATTACGTTTTTGCCCCTTCACGTGTTAACTAATCATTTGATCACATCCACAAGATTAATTAATATATATAGCATTCTCAATAGACTTATTTCTCACTTTGTATCCAACATGTAGATTCAAAACCTCATAAATTCAAAATATTGTTAATACTTTATGTTTTACCTTTCGTATATTTCTACTTGTAATGTGGCTAGATAAACAGGATAATCATGAACATGGTACAATATGGGGCCTTATATCACGAAATTGCCATTTTTTTTTAAAACGATCAGTAAATAATCATTTATTTTGCAAAGTGATATCTGCATATTCCATTTACTTTTGTAAATTATTTTTCTGACCATAACAAAAACATTATCCATAATTTTGCGTAATCGCCTTTTGGATTTATATTTATTTCAAATTGAAATATAATCCAAATCATGCTTAAATGTTTTGACATCACTTTTATAATTTATATTTTTCTGATTATTAAAGTCATTGGTTTCCAGATAAATTTATATCGAAAAATCACTCTTTGGCAAACTTGTTTATATTTTCCAGGAAAGTTACTCATATTTGTAGAAATGCGTGTTCATTTGCGAAATAATTAGCAAATGAAATGTTTTTCTTAGTAATGTCCATTCATAAAGAAATTCTACAAAGCAAAATAAATAAATAAATAAATAAATGTAAATACATAGTTATTTTATATTAGTCTCCCAAACAATGGTTAAAAATGGTTATTACTTATTTCGTCATATGACACTTCAGAGAACCCTAGATAGAATATTTCGAACAACACTTTATTCATGAAATAAGAAAAGTCACAAAGTAAAATTCAAAATAAAAAAAATAAAAAAAATAAAAAAATAAAAACCCTAAACCCGACCAAAGTCCAAACTGTTGGAAAAGCCCGTTTTAGGCCTGCTTCGTTTTCCATCATGGTGATCGGTAAGGCCGTAAAGGTGTGCATGATACGGTTTACGGTTAAACTGCAAAACACATCGCATGTGCAGTTTGAGATTTTTGAAAACCACACTACAAAATTTCTAAATTGTATTATGCGGTCCAGTGCAGATGTTTTGGGTGCGGTTATTGTGTGTTTTAGTATTATATACATTAGTATATAACTTCGTTAAATTATTGTTTATCCCTAATATTTAAAAAACAAATTATATATATATTAATTACCAAAGTTGGTATGTGATGACTTTTACTATTCATTTCAACTTTTCATTCGTAGCCGTTCGATTTCCTTTTGCTTCTCATTTCTTTCTTCTTTCTTTTTCTTAACCAACGATTGTACTCACTTCCTTTGTTTTTACTAATGTCAGATCAAAACCAACTAAGTCCATATCAAATTACAACTCTTACCGAATATAATATAAGCTCTAAAATAAACATTTTTCTAAAAATAACAAATTTACGCTTCTGGTAATAAAAAGATTCTTACATTTACATTTTCTTTACAACTCTTACAGAATATAATATAAGCTTTAAAATAAACATTTTCCTAAAAATAACAAATTTGCTTGTAATAAAAGAATCTTATATTTACATTTTCTACCCTAAAATAATTTTGATTAAACACAATTTATCCTTCGTAATTTTAAACTTAAATTATTGGTAATTTTAAGTTAAATTTTTTGGTTCCTTACATAATTGTTTTTATAGTTTTCATTTTTACTAATATTATTTTTTTATTTAAAGGTTAGTTAATACGTTTAAAATACATTTTTAAATTTTATTTTATATACCTCATCCATACATAATTGTTTGCTTTTAAACCTTATTTTATATTTTTATGATTCATTTTGAAAAGAAATTCTCCGCCACAATACGCAAAAATTTCTCTGAAAAACCTTATCCATGTTGAATTGCGTTTTTAACATACTAGGTTTCCGCAGCATCGCGCGGACGGTCCAAACCTAGTTATTTTTAATAGTAAAAAATAACAGCAAAAGTTGTCTAGGGATTTGTACCTGGGTTGGGTAAGGATGCGTAGAAGTATACGTGTCATGTGTGGGTGTGTTGGGTTTAGGGTTATGTAGGGTATCGGGTGGGTGTTCGATTGTGCATTTAGAAACTTTTTGAATTGAACAAACTAGATAATTATCAGTTTTTCAAAAAAAAAATTAGCTTTAGAAAAAAAAAAAAAAAATCGTTTTTTGCAAATTATTTAGAAAAGTTGTTGAACTAAATGTTTTTCAAAATTTTTATTTTTCTTGTAAAAGTTTCTGGAAACAAATCATTTTCCATAACTAAACACACCACCAACATTTTAGAAAAATGTTTCTCAGATATCAAAAGGGGTGAAAACTGGTCTTGAGGTTGCACCTCCAAAATTTTGTATAAACAAACTTAAGAAATATAACGGATGGAAACAACAATTTTATACAAAATTTTGTATCAAAATCAGTTTTTTGCAAGCGTATATATTTTTTAGCTTGTTCCAAAATCCAGACAATATTTCAGGGAGGAGTGCTAGAAATGGGATACGATCCATTTCCAACTTATCTGTATTTTTCTGTTTGGTTTGTAATCTTGTTGAAGAGATTGAATAATACATACATACATACATACCACAAAATTCAAAATAATATATATTTCAAATTTAATAATAAATTAACCTTCTACTTGTGCAACTTCACCAACGAGAAAAACCATAGGAATTAAATTCAAAAGGTTTCAGGAAGCAATGTTGAAGCAAATCATCCATAAAAAATACTTCCAAAAACTTATTTTGAGGAAAGTTGTTTCAAAGGAAGTGCTCTCCACCCAATATCTTTCCTATAAAACCCTCCTTCCCATTTAATCTCTTCAACAGCCCGATAAGCTCTCTCTCTTGCCTCTTCAAGATCTTTCCCTTTCGCAGTCACACCCAAAACCCTGCCACCTGTTGCCACGTAATCCCCCTCCGCATCGACACCTGTCCCCGCATGAAATATCTTAACCCCAGGCGCCGCCACCTCAGCATCTTCAAGATTCCGAATCTTGGTTCCCTTCACATAGCTTCCAGGGTATCCATTGCTAGCCATCACCACCACCATGGCTGACCCGTGGGCCCACTCCAAACTCACCGAGTTTAGTTCCCCTTTACACGCTGCCAGCAAAACTTGCGCTAAATCCGACTCCAAACGAACCATCAACACCTGCCAACATGTAAACAAAAAAAAAATTATATTCAAGATACAGTCTGAGGGTAATATCAAACAGTCTGAATCTGAATCTGACCTGGCATTCAGGATCTCCAAATCGGACATTATACTCGATCAATTTCGGTAATCCGGATTTTTTTTCGATCATGAGTCCAGCATAAAGAACCCCAACAAACTTACACCCTTCTTTTGACATCCCTTTAACAGTAGGAAGAATGATGGACTCCATAACCAAAGATTGGAGTTCTTGAGTCAAAACAGGAGCAGGACAATACGCGCCCATACCACCCGTGTTTGGACCCGTATCCGCGTCACCGACCCGTTTATGATCTTGGGCGGATTCTAAAGGTAAGGCGTTCTCACCATCAACAATGGCAAAAAAAGAGGCTTCTTCACCTTCTAGAAACTCTTCCACAATTATGGAAGAACCAGCTTCCCCAAATGAGCCTGAAACAAGAATGGAGTCCACTGCTTCAAATGCTTCGTGTAGTGTCATGGCTACAATCACTCCTTTTCCTGCTGCTAACCCATCTGCTTTCACTACAATTGGAGCTCCTTGTTGTTTTATGTATGTTTTTGCAGCTAATGGGTCCTTAAATGTTGCATACTGCAATATCATCATCAATAAACAATGATTAGAAAATAAAGTTTAAGAAAATATCTTTTGTAGAAACTGAAAAAGTAGAAACCTTGGCAGTGGGAATTCCGTATTTATCACATAAAGTCTTCATGAAATTCTTGGAGCCTTCCAAAGCAGCGGCTTCTGATGAAGGGCCAAAAGCGTGGATGCCAGCTTTAAGAAGGTCATTGGTAAGACCTGCGACTAAAGGAGCTTCGGGACCCACAACCACAAGTCCAACACCCCATTTTCTACAAAAAGCTATTACAGCTTCACTATCGAAGATATCAAGATCTTCAATACACGTGGCATCCCCTGAGTTTGAAATGCCAGCGTTTCCAGGAGCACAGAAGACAGCATCGCAGGATTGAGAGCGTTTCAAGGCGTAACAAAGTGAGTGTTCTCTTCCTCCACCACCAATCACTAATACAGTGACTCTTTCTTGTAGATGATCTGAGGAAATGCTGTTGAAAATGGTGGTGTAGGATTTGAAGCGGTTTAAACGGTGGGAATTTTTTTGGGGATTAAAAGTTATTGATGATTTCAAATTGTTGGTTTGTAGGAAGAAGAGTTGGGAAATTTTGTTTGGAAACTGTCTTTGATTTGATACAGGAAGATGACCTAACTTCATTGAAGCTCCGAGATTATGTGAAATGCAGGCCATTTTTAGTGTTGCAAGGAGAATCTGTAGCAAAAAAAATGAAAAATATTAGTGTCAAACATAAAAGGACAGATTCTGTTACTATTTCTTTACCAAAATAGGGAATAAACTTACTCCAGACGTTATTTATACGTAGAGGCCTTTGTTCATTCAGCACTTAACCAGAAAATAAAAAGGAATCTTTTAATTTTTCGTTTGAGAGGTAGTAAGTTTGCAATCAGAATTCAGATTAGTGTTTTTTGTATGTAATATGAAATAAAACTGAAACAGTTTTACAGCAAAATGTGTTACAGACATAACTTATAAAGCAAAAACTTGGATCTTTTTGAGGATGTAAACATGTTTAACAGCAAACACATGGTATGAACTAACAAGCACTCGACTATAGCAATTAAAAACACATGGTAGCATTTTGCCACACGATAAACTTATAAATTTTCATTTGGGCAAATCATCGAACACTTGGCATGCAATACGAAACAATTATAACTTTAAAACAAAGAGAGATTTTGTTTACCTTATTAGCAGCAAAGTTCTTCAATGGAATTGAAATTGTGTTGCATTCGAAGAGGAAGCGCTTGTAGTATAGACGAAATCTTGATCCTCGAGAGAACGCACAGTTATATATATCTATCTATGGGCCAGCCCACCGGAGAGAGATGATACCATGTCCTGACTCGTATTCGCATTCACCGAGGTTATGGTAAAGATTGTACGTTGTGCTTATATGTTAGTATTTTAGCAGTAGATTCGATTTTGAAGGCTTAGGGGAAGACAAACGTTTGCAAAGTACTCCTTTTAGTTTCTATATTGTCACTACGCATTTCTAAAGTTTTAATATTTACAATTTCAGTCCTTTATATTAATAATATTGTAATATCATCATATTTTATCTTTCAAAATAATGCTTTTAGGTGTAATTCCAACAAATATTATTTTGCAAGTGTAATTTTTTTTAGTAAACATATAATAAATGCTTTAAAATATGTTATATATGGTTTTATTTTTTGGGTATTCAACTATAATGGTTTTTTTGTATAAGATATCGCATGTTAAACATCATATTTTGTGTTAGTATTTATTTTAGAAAATATTATTTTTAAATCAATGATTAATGACTTATGTAATAAAACTATGATTAGTAAAAATATCATAATAGCGAAAGCCAAATCATATTTTAGATAAATAAATCTTTTCTTTATCATAACTTATAACATTTATCTTGTTAATTTTGAAAGTACTTACTAGAAATGTTTCACAAAATTCAAACACGATACTTACAAAATAGAAGTAAAAACAAGGGGGAAAACGTAAAATCAATTTGGATATTTTGTGGTTTAACCAGTCAGTAAAACTCAAGTTCGGCAATTTTTGTAAACTTTAGATACTTATATTAACAAAATTAACTAACAAAACTAAAATATAATGGCCACAAAATTATAAAAATGTATGCGCATATCTTGCCCTAAAAGCCACATGTTTTGGCTATTATTTTTCTGGGATACCGTTTATGTTTAAGATGTCTTATATTTCATGTAATATATAGTTGATAAAACTGTATTTATTTTTCTGGTATTAATGCATTCACATAACACCACACCAAACGAAGGATAAAATTCAATAGTAACAGTATTTTATTCTATACAGAATTTGATATACATTTTGTTTGCTATAAATGTCAAACTCAATACATGACACGGAATGGAATTTCAAATTCCAATTCCACCATGGAATGGAATCTCCAATTCCAATTCCATTCAAGAAGAATCCCAAGTGAGATAACTCGCCTTAGTCCTACTATATCCCTACAGCATCAAGAAGTTGGGAGTGTTGAGAAACAGAAACTAGTGAATTAGCAACAATGGCACCACTAGCAGCAACAGCAGGGACTCCGATTCCAGGGAATGTGGAATCCCCACAGCAATAAAGCTGCGGAATCGGAGTCGGGTGTCCAGGGAAAGAGTCTTTCCCAGCTTCTATTGCTGGCCCATATGTTCCTCTGTTCCTTCTAAGAAATCTTTGGTGTGTTAATGGAGTTCCAACTAACTTCACCTCACATTTATCCCTACTAAATCCTGGACCAAGTGACCGCTCCACAGCTTTCCACAATACCTGCCATCAAAATTCCAATATTGCCCTTTTAATATATTTCACTTAAACCTCAATAATATTGTTAAATGTCTTTGGAATGGATGAAATATCTACCAAAGGAATTGTAATCTGTCACGCATTTGGTAGGCAGGAAATGGGATGGAATTCGATTACATTTATTTGCTTGGTTTATATCGGGGTATTTTGGTCTTTTAACGGATAAGAGAAGGAATGAAATATTATTTCTTTCGATCCACACCTAGGAATGATGAAATCCATCAAACATGGAGTTCAAAGGAATCTGAAGAAATTGAATTCCGTCCATCTGGCACACCAAACACAACATGGAATGGAATCTCGAATTCCACTTCTAGAGGATTCGGTATACCAAAAACACACCCTAAGGGGAGTGTTTGGTTTGCAGATTCCAACGGAATCTGACGGAATTGAAATTCGCGATTCCATTCCATGGTGTGTTTGGTTGCCAAATGGACAGAATTCCATTTCTTCAGATTCCTTTGAGTTTCACGTTTGATGGATTTTACCATTTCTAGTGGCTCATGAAAGAAACTCCATTCCATTCTTCCTTCTTTATTAAAAAACCAAAATACCCTCACGACACATATTGAAATAGTGAAAAATTACTAGATTATTCAATTTTTATTATTGAATTCATTCCATATCCTACCAACCAAACACGTGACAAATTCCAATTCCTTAGACAAATTCCATTCATCCGCTTATCATTTTATGATAATAGAGTCGGAATCATTGATTCCACCTCGGATCGCTCGGCTTTAAGTTGCTTGTATTCATTGCTTCTACGGTCAAGACCTTCCCAAAGTTGAAATGGTTCGGTCCCCGGGGTGTAGGCATGTAAAACATGCTTTCCTTGAGGGGCTAAATCCGGACTAAGTACACTTGGCACAGATATCAACACCACATTTTGATCCGCATCAACTCCACTATTCCAATCATTCACAACAATATGATGAATTCCTAAATCTTCCCGTATTCCCTAATAATTATGTAAATAAACACTTTTAGATATAAAAAAAAAAAAACGGACTAAATGAAAGAAATAGCAATGTACTTTCTTATACTTGTGTACATTGTACTTTCATTCTATTTCTTCTTAAGGTATTACACTTTGACAAATATACCCAATTACATCATTGGAACTCTGACTTTTTCTTATTAGGACATTATACTTTGAAAAATCTAAAACTTGTATTGATGTTGCTATAATTGGATAGAATTTTCAAAGTAGAATGTCATAATAGGAAGAAATGCAAGCATGTGTGAAAGTGCATTGCTATTTCTTGCATATAATCCTATAAAGAATTAAACATAAACTGGAATTTCCCATGTTAACTGCTCACCTCTGCATCAAATCCCAAATGAAGATGCATAAACGACTCACATTGCTTTGTATTTTGAATCCTTTCTTCATATGATTTTGGAACTGCTTCTTTAGGTAATAACTTTATGGTGTCCCACATGGATGCATTGCTTACAACAGCCTTCTTTGCACGCACAAACTATAAAAAAAAAAATTGTAAAAATAATTTATTATAAGTAAACCATATGGATAAAGTATGAGTCCCTTTGACTCACTTGACCACTTCTTAGCTTGACACCTATAGCTCGACCATTTTCAATGACTATATTCTCCACATGGCTTCTTAGAGAGATTCTTCCACCAAATTTCTGTAATCCTCTAACAAGAGCCTCAACAAGTGCTCCAGTTCCACCAACAGGGTATTCTAAACTACAACCTGGTTTATACCATTCTGCAAACATGTAAATCTGCAAATATGTGGATATATATATACAGGCAAAAGATTAGACATTTAGAGAACTATAAAATATGAAGGAATAGAATGGATTCTGTTTGGTTGGAATGGAATGGATGAGGACATGTGGTAATGGAATAGCCCATTCCATTCCTCCCTCAATTCCATCATACCAAAAACTACCTTAAAGAAACTTTTTAATGTATGATATGATTATGTACCATTTCTGCTGAAAGAACACCATCGGATTTCACTCCAGCAAGCAAGAAAGACAAAAGATCCACCCAATTTCTAATGAAAGGATCTTTGAGTCCCAATGAATCAACTATTTCCGAAAAAGGGCGTAAAAGCTTTGTGGCACCAAGAACACCTTGAGGTCCCATTTTTGCAAATGATTTTAAGAGTGGATATGCATATCTAACTCCAGCAGTAGAAACAACTCCCAAATCACCTCGAATAGATAGAGGTGGCAAAGCCATGGCAGCTGCAGATAATGGAAGTATTGCATCCTGTTTAAAAGGAAGTATTACCTTTCCATTTTTGGTTATTTTTGTGATTAGCCCTTTCTAAACACTCAGAAAAAGTATAATGGTTTAATCACTACAAAAAGTATCTAAGAGGGTAAATTGATAAAAGAGTGAAAGTACTAACTCTTGGGAGATAGAAGAACTGCATTCAATTTCAAAGAATGTATAAAGAAAAGAAAGTGAATGTCACTCACAAGAAGCTTTCTCCATTCCAAAACAGCATTTGGACCAGCATATGTCTCTAAGTCCTGAAATGGATTCCAAAAAAGAATTTTCTTGAATAAGAACATGTTTCCCATTATTCATACTACACTTGAGTAACATAATTGTAAACATACTAAAGTTAGTTTTGGATTATCTGAAGTCTTTTTGTTGTGTGAAAATTACAGTGCTACAAATACTAGCTTACCTTGAAAAATTCTGTAGGACCAATGCGCGATAGAAATTCTCCTTCGGGTACATAAACCATCCATGAGTCATATTTGACACAGGGAATGGACTCTCCTAAAGCATCCAAAACCTGTAAAACGATCAACAGCTTTAAAAAAAACAAACATAGCTACAAATACATAGCATATCATGATTCATGAGTAGTATCATTTGTTGCATAAGGAAGATTTGTGCATGTTTTGTGGTTTTGGAGAATGGAATGAAGAGTATGAAAGATATAACAAATACTTGTGCAAGAGGATTCGCCTGGAGGCCTCTAGATTGAAATCCGGAAAACAGAGAAGGCCCGGAATCGAATTTGTAATCTTTGATTTCAAACGAATGTGCAGCGCCACCTGGTAGATCATGGCTTTCGAGAACTATAACATCTTTCCCGTATCTAGCTAGAAGTCCTGCACAGCATAGTCCACCAAGACCACTCCCTATAACAACAACATCTGCTTCTGGCTTCCCTGCATAGATCATAATCATATCATATGATTGTTTTTACATCTGTTGCATACCAGTAGCTATGGCGGAAGGTAAATTACTCAATTTGGTAAAACGACTCGTTAAAATTAAGGATTCATGTACTGTTACGAACAGAAAGATTGCCCCCAAATAGAAATTAGAAATGTAGAATGTTAATTCAGTCGGACCTGGGAAGGGTTTCGGTTGTGTAATTGTAGAAGAGGAGGAAGATGAAGCTGCCTCATCAGTAACATTGGAAGATGTTCGCGCGAAAATGGTGGAACTACGGTGTTTGGTGTTGTATACGAATTTGGGTTTGTTGAAAGGAGATGGTTTGTTGTAGATGGTTCCTAAAGTAGCTGTCAAAGCCGCCATTAACAGGAAGAAAAGATTAGCACAGAGATGAAGATGAAAAGGGTCTTGGAGATTATTGAATTGATGAAGCTCATTTTCAATCCACTGTGGGTGATTTTTTGTAGTATGAAAAAGGACACGAAGCACTCACTACAGTCTACACCTGTAGCCACTCAACTTTCAAGTTCCACTGAGGTTAACCTTTTGCGCGAAAAAAAAAAAAAAAAAACCTTATTTACTGTGTGTTAGTTTATAATTTATTAACTTACAAGCTAATAAGTATAAGTGTGAAGTACATATGAAAAAATAATTTATTAGAATTTTTACACCGAAATAAACTAATTTTTATGAAAACAGTTTTTTATTTATAGCGGTATGAACCTCTAATAAACTATAAGTTGTTTTAAGCGATGTTTTGAAAACCGGACCGGACCGGACCGGCCGGTTCGACCGGTTCAACCGGGAACCGGTCCCGGATCCGGTTCTTAAATGCCAAAAAACCGGTATTCATTTGAACCGGTGAAAACTAGTAAAAACCGGTTGAACCGGCAAAACCGGTCAAAACCGGAAATTTTAAAAAAAAAAAAAAAAAAAATTATTTTTTGTATTTTTTATATAATTAAATATAATTATGACATCATCCGGTTTTCCCGGTTTTTGAGACCGGTCTGACCGGTTGGACCATCTGAACCATCGAACCGGTAAGACGACCGGTTCGATCTCCGGCCCGGTTTTCAAAACATTGGTTTTAAGAAGCTTAATCAAATACCCCTTAAATTGAAAAGTGTTTTAACTTTAGAAAAACAAAAAATAAAGTTTTTCATACATTTATTTATGTATCCTACTTTTTATAAGTATTAATAAAGCTAACAAACTTATAAGCAAATTAAAAGCATTTTTATCTATGGGATGTCACTATCCGCTGTTCAAAAAAAATAAGAAGTATTAATAAAGCTAACAAACTTATACGCAAATTAAAAACGTTTTGAGACGACACATAGTAATTTTTTTTTTTTTTTTGCTTTTACAAACTTATTTCATCCAATAAACTCATATTATGGATGCTCTAAATGTTGCATTAAACTCGTATATATCACAAACATAAAATATATTGCAAAAAAATTACTTATTTCACACGTGTTGAAGTTGTGGATGATGAAGAAACCATTAGTCTTTATTATTACCAATACACCACATCTGACCAATTTAATAGAATTATAGCATAAGCAAAAGTACTACACATGATCTAATAAAGAAACATAAATGTGAGTCGTGACACAACACAAATCCATTTAGATTACCAAATCATAATTTTTATCAAATAAAGATAAAACACAACACAAACATCATTTCCTTTGATGAAACAAAACCAAACCACAAAGGCTTGTTGGCATCATGGCCTAATCACAAACCAGAGTTACAGGAACACCATAATAAAATCATGCTCATAGTCATATCTCCCCATCATCATCTCTCTATTTGCAAAACATAACATAACATAACATAACACACCCACCATTTTGAGGTAGTTAGTATTTACAAACAATCAGCCTTCAATTTCATTTCACCTATTTTATATTAAAGGTAAACCACCCAACCCAACCCAACATCTCTTATATTTTAGGATAATCATCACTCACTCGCCTTTTTTTTTTGTTTAACAAAAAAACACATCCTGTTCCGCTTTCCTTTTTCCATTTTCCTTTTTCATGTTTCCGTTTGTAACTTGTAATTAGGGGGGGTAGAATCGTAACCTCACCCGTTCACAGGGTCCCACAGAAAAAAGCCTTCTTTGCTTAACCATCTTTTTTTGCTTCCTAGCAAAAAAACAAAACTTTCTTGGATGCAATCAATCACGTTTATGCTCCCAACTCCCAATACTGTAAAAAATCCAATCTCTGAACTCAACTGCAATAAATAAAAACTGGGTTGGAGTAGTTGACAACATAAGGGCAAAATGGTCCTTTCCATAAGCTTAACAGCATTTTTTGGACCTAAGTTAAGACTACCAAAGTCAAACATTGCATTTGCATCAAATGTTATAATAGATAAATAATGAGAGAAAATGTTACCTTACTAACAAGACTAAGAACCAGAGCTTGACTTCTGAACCCAGACCTGTTTCTGTATATTCACATCACATATTAATGTTAATGTTAATATTAGTATTAATATTAATAAATTAATAGAAATTAATTTTATACCTCATGAGAACCATAGCCACTAGAAACTCCTTTTTTCGAACCATCTGCATCCTTAGTGTTGTTATATGATGATGGCCCACGCCTTCCACCATGTTTATGGGAGCCTGCATATTTATCTACATAAAGTAATTTCTTTTTCATTTTCCTTGTCATAATTCATAAACCAAAATTAATTAATTAAGGTCATATATATATATATATATATATATATATATATATAAAGGAATGGAATGAGCTATAAGCCATTACAATCCATGATCATGAATGGTTTGAATATAGAAATAGAATTATCTAGACATTATAACTAACCAAAACAAAAAGATTAAACATAGTAAAAACTCATCAAACCCCAAATATGTTATCATTACAAATATTTTTTTTTGGGAAAAAAAAAAAAAAACAGTTTCAATAATAAAAAACTAACCATTATCAGGTGAGAAATGACCACCTCGTCCACTTCCACCCCTCATGTCATACTTTCCCTCTCCATGAGTTCCTATCAAACCATGTCTATTTTCAGCACAATTATATGGTAAAAGCCAAAAAATATATATAAATAAAATAACATTAGGAGTCTTTTTGGTTGGATGGAATGGAATGAAGCATTCCATTCCGAATTCCATGATACCTTCTGAAGAATCTGGTTTGGATTGAGAAAGTGAAGATGAAAGAGAGTCATCATCAGAATGCCTAAGTGGGGTCCACACACCACGATCAGGTCTATCCTTGTTCCTAGTACCACGTTTCTCCATGTCATCTTGCAAACCATTATAAGGTGGAGGAGGTCTAGGGGGTTTTCTGTCAATTTCCCTATTTAAATTTTGTTGTGAATCTTTGTTAATAAGTATGCTTCTAATCACCCTTCCACTACCCTCCCTTTGTTTTGGAGCACCACAACCATGGGATATTTTCACAGATGACACACCACTGCTTATCTGAAAATGCTAATTATTAGTTAACCACTTATTACTATTCTTTCTTTTTATTAAATTAATGAAAAAAATTCAAAACTTACAAGGGGTATTTCCTTTTCTTTCCCCTTCAGCAACAGAATTTTCTTTTTCCCAATATCAGGAGTTCCAGCAGAACCTTCACAAATTTATAAATATGCTAACAAATTAATTTTGGAAGAAAAAAAAAAAAGAGTGATGAGTAATAATATATATACCCCGTCCTTCCTCCAGTACAACACTTCCAGAAACAGGCTGTTGATCATTAGGTTTATGGACCTGAACATATGTTGACTTTTCTTTACCACTTCTACCCTTCCCAGTATCCCTTGGGACATACTGTTTTAATAACAAAAAGACATTAATACCCATTGAAAGTTGTTAGCTTTGTAATCTTTATTATGTAAAAAAGATTCAGATACCATGGTGGTTGAAGTCCTTCTTCTTTCAGAGCCACGTTTTAATGCAGGAGAATTTGAAGTTGAAGATGATGATGATGCACCACTAGGCCTTCTCATTAACTTCCCATTAGGCAATGACCTCTGAAATTATTAATAAAAAGTTGAGAATATATATTTTATTCTGAAGGGGTATAAGTGTAAATATCCTACCCGAGATCCACCCTTGGCTGCTCTTTTCTGGCGAATAAAATCCATTAAAGGAGTAACTATAGGAGCCTCCTTCGCATTACCTTAAAAATCAGAGTTTAAAGAAAAAAATTAACTCAATTCCATGTTAATTTACATCTTATTATTATTATTAACAGATTTAATACTAACCAGCTCGTTCGGCTTCCTTTCTTTCCAATTGTATCTCTGCACTAGGAAGATTCTCCACAGGCTTTGAAATTAACTCGAGGAATTCAAGATATTCAGGATCTATATGTTCATTAAAAAGTTAATTATAAAAACAAAATAGATGAGATAATGAATTATATGGAAAGGGTTAAAGGGTAAGTGGATAATCATCTTAATAATAATACCTTTGTCTATGGTGCCTTCACGTCCATCTTTCTTAGACCATTGTTTTGGAACGCGTTGTGAGGGTGCATATTCAACAATAGTTTTGAATTGGGTGCCTGAAAATGGAAAAAAGAAAAAAAAAATCCCTAATTTTCGATTTGGGAATCCAATTTGAAACCCTAGAATTGCGTATATGTAGATTTTCAATTTTCAGTATTACCCTTTTCATTAACAAACACGTGTCCATCAAAGAACTCTGCAAACTCAATGACATCATCTGGATGCTTAAAGTCAATGTAGGCTCTGGAATAGGATTGACACTTCAGACTGAAAACACGTTCAATGGAAATTGTTAAAACAACTACAAGTCTACAAGTGTGTCAAAAAAAGGGGGCGATTTGATTTTCAATACATGTAAGCAACAAATTTACCATTTTTTCTACATTTAGATAAGAGTCTCTAAACATCAGTTCCAATCAAGTTGCATAAACAATTATGATAAGTTTGATGACAAGTGAAATCACTTTAAGATCTAAGGATCCATTTTTAACTATGTCTTTACTGAGACACCTATTTCATAGTTAAGTGCTATGAATCCATTTTTCACCACCAGTCAAATGCCCAAATAGTAGCAAATAATAAACAGGAAGCAAAACACATATAAAAAAACAGAATGATGAGTTCTTTCTTCACAAACTAACAAGCCACCTTGCTTAATGTTTTGTCAACTGTGCTTAATACTCCATCTACCATTCTTTCTAACTATTGTGTAGCATGTATCTAGCTCTCTACATAAGCTTCTTTGGATTCCTTCTGACAGCTACAAAACGTTGTTTTACTTCAAATCTAATCTCAGCTAAAAACCAAAATACTCTGAAACCTCCAAGGTTTATAAAGGCGTGAAAGGCAAGCAATTCGAACAAAAAGAATCTACATGGTCCAAAAACCAAACTCTAAACGCCTAGAACTTACTTTTTTCTTTCAAAATCTATCAGTAAATTATAACCCAAACCCTAAAATCACTTAAAAATTAACTTCAAGGTAGTAGCACTAAGCTGAAGCTCAAAGAAAAAGCACGTAAAACCCTAACCTGTTCTTCCCGGAACGGAAACAAAACCAGTTGTAACGACCGGAAAAACGGGCATCAATTTGCTCCATGAGCGCTGACTGAGAAATGTTGTGTGGCAAGTGCCGAAGCACAACCTTCGTTCGATCCAACGAACCCTTCATTCGCGCTTAGAACTTTTTTTCCACAAATAGAAAAGACAAACACTATAAAAAATATATTTTACCGGTGAGCTTGGAACCCCAGAAAAATGTTATTCGTCGAATATTTCTTGAATTACATCTTCCCCGAGGCTTCGATCGAGATTGTTTTGTGCCCTAATTTTTCAATTTTTAGCCGAAACAAAGAGCCATGGAGGGCATGCAAATAAACACCAGGAAAGAGAAAGTCAGAAAGCAGAGAGGGATTGAAGGAAATACAGGTTTTGGGTGTGGATTGTGAATATGGAGATGAAGTCTGTATGAGTGTTTCGTATGGTTTTGGGGTGCATATTGAATATTGATTGTATTTGCAGAAACGAAAATTCCCAAATACGACTTGAAACCTTTTAATAGGTTTTGTTTGGGTGTTCAAGATTGGGGGGTTAATCACATAAAAACAAGGTTAGACAAAGACAGCCAATGTATTTCGTTTTCCTTTTTTTGTGTTAATAAGATATTATATTTGGAAATTTTAACAACTATAACAATTGATACCTTGTTGATTTGTAACGTTTTTATATATTTTTCATTATTTATTTATATGTTATTATAACCATGAAATATCTTGCTAATGTGGTAAATTTTGATTTAAAGATCTTTGTTATATAAAACATTTTGAGATTTCACTTTTCTTATAAAAGATTTTTTTTTCCTTTTAGAGTTTTGTTTCCTTAAACCGATTATGTCAAAAAAAATTCAAGAATGTGATGATACAACAAAAATTTAACGATAATGATGTTTCTTGCTTAAGAAGAAGGTACGAGGATGTAAGAAGTGGACAGTTTTGAAAATAATGATTTCAAAACAATTATGTAATCATATATAACGGAAGCAACTTAGTCATAGATTTGTTAGAATAAAAAAAAAATCAACAATAAACAATGATAAGAGGTTTAAAAATTATCACATTAGTTGTTGGTGTTTATTAATGTTGGAAATTGCAAATAATAAGTAATCTCTACAAATGTTAATCGAACATACGAACAATAGTTATTAGACACGACATATCAAAACTAGTCTCTCTTGTATTTTCATTGGTTTTGAGGTCGATAGGAGAGAGAGCAAGTGTTGGAATCTTTCACGTGTAAAGAAATGATCAAACAGGATTTTGACTATTTAATATTTTTGTATAACTATAACATAAACAACTCTCTTAAATATTTATACGGTGGATTTGTCAAGCCTTTTACTTACCTTCCGAATAAAAACTAAAACTCGCAGTTAATTCATTTGGAAAAAATGATATCAAATCTTTAACATTTATGTATTTTCCATGGTTTTATCCTAACATCAAAAATTTTACTGTTAAAACCCAAAACTTGGCCTTTTTTTTCAAATATGACATTTTTCATGTTACATCTTTTATACAATTAAAGCTTAAAACTTTTTATAGTGGTTTGGTTCTAACTAAACGTTTAATCCATTTTGATGGGAAAATCGTTGATGGCTCATCCATTTAAAACTACGAAGTCATTGAAGCTATACTCAAAACTATATGTATAGTTGATGGTTCATCCATTTAAAACTACGAAGTCATTGAAGCTATACTCAAAACTATATGTACAGCTTTTGGTAACTCAAATTTTTAAACTCCCTTATAATAAAATATATTGATCAATACGCAAAGCACTTAACCGCTTAAATAAAGTAATAATCTTTGATGAATTCACATCATCAAGATATAAGTTCAACCAAGTAACTAGAGTACGGTAAAACTCGATTGATCACAGATACATGAACTTGAGCCAAAACCATATGGCTCGGTTGACCAACTCAATCAACATATGTAAAATTATATTATGTAATGTGTCTTAGCAGGGAAAATTACAAGATCATTTTTTCATAATTTTGGTTGTTTTTACATGAAAATGGTTATCTTTAACTTACAAAACAAGGTATTTGTTCAAATAATAACTCAAAATAAATTGACCTAATTTTTGTAAACCCTTTTATTTTAAAGAAATAAGTTTCGGTTCTTTAAAATGATATTTTTTAAACATAAAATATCTTTGAAAGAATATTATTATATTTTTAAGAATTTTGTCTTAGGATAAATTAGACATTTTGTGTATTTTTATTTTAGGAAACTAACATAATAAATTCCATGTATTTTACAACAAAGGAATTTAATATTTTTATTTACATTAAAGAAAATTTAATTTTACAAGAATCATTTTGTGAGAATATAAAAATTAAAATTGTAAATTTATGAATCTTATGAAGAATGTAAACATTCTTTGAAGAAGTAATTACAATTCCAAATCTATAACTATTATTATAATGGTTATTATATACATATACAAATCTATAATCCTTTTAGAAATCAATTAATTATAAGAGAAAATTAATAGAGTGCAATCACAATTCTAACATTCTCATGATAGTGAAAAAATTATAACAATGAAGAATCTATAAATTCTAATTATTTCACTACTATGCCACAAAGTCCTCTTTTATCAGATATTTTGCATCGTAATGTATCCATTTCTCCCAGCTATACTCCACGTGAGTTCTTCACTATCCAATATTTGGTTCCATCTAGAGTTTATTCATATCCCATGGCTACACACTTTGATTCAAATTTGTTCCAAACTTTCCAATAAAAAAAACTCCTTGTTACACCACAAAAAAAAATTACTTTTAATTTTAAGTTTATTGGTTGATTTATGGATAACTTTTTGAATTAAAAGCAAAGTCTTTTGGGGTTGTCTTTATAACTAGAACTATGTTAGAATGATATTTATAGAGTGATGATAAATTTATTAGTTTATTATATGATTAATAAATTATAATAAATGATTGTTAATATATTATATGATTAATATATTGATTAGAAATAGATGTTTTGTTGATTTATTATATTAGAAAAAGATGTTTTGTTAATTTATTATCTGATTAATAAATTAATGTAAGATCAACTGTTAAATAGTTGATTTGTTCATTTATATGATTAATAAATTAATGTGAAATCAATAAGAATTTATTATTATTATTATTAATCAGAATTAATTTGGAATTAATTCATGATTAATTGGAATTAATTAAAGGTGTAATGACTGAGCTATAACTGTTTAATAGTTGAACAAATGAGAGAATTTGTAACATCCCAAAATTTTCAACAAATTTAGACCTTTCAAAACAACCCATTTACTAATAAAATTGTTTACAAAATCATTGTTTCCAAAACATTATTTAAAATCAGAGTCCCCCAAGATCCAATCAGTAGTAAAACCAAGGATGTGTAAGGTCATGTCTTCGCCTCATCACGGTCCTCTGAATAACCTAAAACCATAAACTAAAACTGTAAGCACGAAGCTTAGCAAGTTCCCCCAAAGTACCAACACACAAACAGATAACATATACAAATAACAGCATGTCGGGTCCAATCAACCATTGGGTTGGAAATTGGAATACCCTAAGCCCAATCAACTATCAGGTTGGAATGTCAATATACAATGAGTTCAGTCAACCATCAGGTTGGAATACCAATATACTATAGGTCCAGTCAACCATCGGGTTAGAATACCAATATACTATGGGTCCAATCAATCATCCGGTTGGAATACCTCAGGCCTAATCAACTATCGGGTTGGAATGTCAATATATGTCACACCCCCAAACCAAGGATGGCGAAAACGTCCGGGGGTGGAGGACTTCATGTAGAGTATCACAACAATGAGTATAATAGTGCTTAAAGTAATTACAACCAACACAAATATAATTGAAAACGTTACATCAAGGCACATGTTTACATGATTCACATCAATTACATTATGATACAAAATGAACTGTTTGACGATTTATCGTCCCATCCTCAAAACGTTGTTGATTTCCTGTTTTCACTGAATTCCTGAGAATACAAGTAGTTTTGAAAAGTGTCAACACAAAGGTTGGTGAGTTCATAAGAGATTTCGTTGGAAAAGTAAATCGTTTTCCTTGTAAAAGCGTTAGAATATGTATCCAGAAAATCCGATATTTTCTTTAAAATCTGTGTAATGTAGTCTTATGACTGAAGACCAAAATGTATAAGTAACCTTTCTTATTAATAGAAAATGTTATGTATTTAAATGGACATGGACGCGTTTGAATTAAATGAAATATCTGTATGTTCTCATGTTTGTTAATACTTTATATGTATGTAGCCCTAAATTAGAGGACCGAGTAATAACAAGTATTGACCATTCTTAAAGGTATGAATGTGGTTTCAAATGATGTGTAGTCGTAACTTCCAAAACCAAAAGTGTACAGTAATATCTATACTCATAGAGATAAAAAGTGATTTTAAATCGACATAAAACTCATTTAGGTTTTGAAAATAAAATCCTGTAAACTTATGGATTGTTATATCCCTATGTGAGTCGCTATAATCATACTATGACTATGTGAACCTGCCACGACGTTCTCAGGCGTCGTGAAAATTAAAATGACATTTGTCACCCGTAGACCTGCAGGTCCCACTGTAGCTAGCAGCAAGGTGTGGGGTGTCAAAGCCAATATAGATCTATATACAAGTATCACGTTCTCCCTCAAGGAGATTCTGATTATAACTACCAGGAATTATATCCCGCACTCGGACGTACGGGGAGAGAGAGAGAGAGAGAGAGTCTCACAATATAGGTTAACAAGTTTACGTGAAATGTGTGTGAATATAAATCTTTCTTGTATGAATGTACCCTTTTTGTACGAGTGTGTTGAGTGATGTATCATAAACTATACTGATTATAGTTTATCTAAAATGTATGTAATATGTATGAACTCTTTTATGGAAATGTATTAGTGTTATGAATTTATCAAACTATAGGTTAACAAATTTACGTGAAATGTGTGTGAATATAAATCTTTCTTGGATGAATGTACCCTTTCTGTACGAGTGTGTTGAGTGATGTATCATAAACTATACCTATTATAGTTTATCTAAAATATATGTAATACGTATGAACTCTTTTATGGAAATGTACTAGTGTTATGAATTTATTAAACTATACTTTTATAGTTTAATATACGTGTTCTAAAAATGAATGATTAATATTTATTATGAATGACTTAGTTTCAGTTTATGATGACAAACTAACAAGGAAATACAT